AAAATGAGCTGCACTCGGTGAAAGCCTTCGAAAGGTCAGTGACATGGAAACATCAGCAACTAATTTGCAACTCAAACATCTGTACGCAGCTCATCAATAATTAAGCACTGTTCATAATTTCTGGCTTTCACCCTCGGCCTGATAAAATGCAAATGAACATTTGCCACGTTCTGCAGAATATTCGCAAGTACTTCTCATTTTTTTTCATGAATTCACAAGCGTTTCATCGCAACCGTATTCATGCAGCTGAGCGTAAAATAGACCATTTTTTCGTGAATAAATCTGGTTGATCTGTGTTGTCAGTGCCGGTATAGCATCAATTAGTTTTAATAGGAGACGGGAGTGATATGGAAGTCCAGCTGCTGATGAAAACTGTAAATTAAGCAACATTAAGTGTAATCGATAAGAGACAAGTTAAATCATAATTTGCATATAAAAAAGAAAAAGAAAAACTGGGATTTTTTCAAATATTGGACACAACAAAAGCAGAAATAATGGAAAAGCAAAACAGTCAGCGGTTTAGCAGAGAAAACTAGGAACCAGTTAACCTATCTTTCTGCTTGGTATGCGATTTCCTGTAGATCTCCAGCATTTATTTTTATTCATATATTCTACATGACTAAACGAATAATTACGACGCTGAATGTTTAAACAGTAAATTAAACTTAGGTTTGGGGTGAGCACTGCGCTCGATTTAGGACTTTTAGAAAAATAATTGCCTTATCTTTCTATAAAGTGTCCCAGTATGAAGCAGGGAAGCAAAACTGAAGCCATATTGACACATCACTTGCTTGAATATTTAAAGTTCAGTCTTATGACTCCGGCAAACTTGATACTGTTTACATGTTCCGAGATATAATCTGTAATATAAATGCATTCATACTCATTGAAATGCATTAAATGAGGGTTCGAATTCTCCACGCTCAAAGTTGAAAGCAAGGAGTTTGCTCCTTATTCCCAAATTCAAGCACAGAAAGCGTAACTTTTGGGTCAGTCAGGAATCACCACTTTGATGGATTTTCAATGATTCAACATTAAAACCAGTTTCACCAGCTCAACCGATGAAACAAAAGTAAACCAACCGATATTGTGCATGGCTCCAGCCAACAGGATTCAAATCTGTAACCATTATTTTGTGCATTTAAAATTAAATATATTTAAAAAAGTTGGTCATTCACTTTATGATTGTTTGGGTGACATTATTATACACAAAAATGGTCATTTTGGGCTCCAAATTACGTAGTTATTACTACATTTTACAGTGTATCCAGTGAAGGTTTGGAAACGATCTCCCAATGTGAAAGGCGCTACATCAGTATTATCAAGAATCTAGTGCTTTGGGCTACAGTTAACAACAACAAAATTACATTATATAGTGCCTTTCACATCGGGAGGACGTCCCAAGTCGCTGGACAGCGTTTCGGTCCCGAGCTGAGGGTGGCGAGGGAGGGACGAGGCAGAGGGACTGCGGGATAGAGTTCTAGAGGGTGGGGGCAGAGTGGCGGAAGGCCCGCCCGCAAATACTGGGGCGAGCGAGGCGGGGGACGTGAAGTAGCCCGAAGCACACTGAGTGGAGGGAGCAAGCGAGCAGGATGGTAGGGGGTTAGGAGGTCGCAGAGGTAGGGGGGAGCAAGACCGTGGATTAAATTTCAAGACAAATACAGTCTTCGAAAAGGCAGCTAAGGTCGGCCTTTTATCTGGTAGCATGGGCTGTAAACTTCGCGTCAACATCAAAGGGCTTTGGTTAACCGAACTTTAAGAAAAATACGATATGAATTGCTCAAGTGCAGTAATTTGACCGCCAAGAAAGTATTAGCTATGTATTTAACAACTTAATAATAATAATAATAATCCTTGCATTTGATATAGCGCTTTTCACGTCAGGAGGACGTCCCAAAGCGCTTCACAGAACACACTGTAAAGTGAATTGACTGTATATTTGTGGGCGAACGTGGCAGCCAATTGCACACAGCAATGTCCCACAAACAGTCGTGGATTGAAAATGACCAATTTATTATTGTTTTTTGTTTTGGAGGGATTATTATTAGGCTCTGTGTGGAGTAAGGAAACTTGCCCAAGGTTTCGCCCTCTGCCTGGAATTGAACTCAGGTCTCTCGCTTGCAAAGCGAGTGCTCTAACCACTGAGCTACAGGTCTCGAGCAATCGATTTGGCTCAACGGGCAGCGATCTAGTCTTGATTATGGGTTTATGGCCCATGACAGTATGTTGAGGTCAGATTCTAGCGCGTTCGTTCGTAAGAGGATGGCTGCAAGATCGTGGGAGCCGCCATCCTTGTCGTTATCCATGTCCCGTCGACCAGTTCAGGGGAATGTTAAAGATCCCTTTGAAAAGAGTAAGACGTTTCTCCCGGTATCTTGGCCAATAATTCTCAAGATAAACTGGCCGTTCACTTCACGGCTCTATGACGACGTGCGAATTAGCTGCCGCATTTACCTACAAACACAAACTCACTACAAAAGAAACTGCCTGCGAAGCACTTTTGAGAAGGAGCTAAAGGAGATCCAAGGATTTTTTTTTTTTTTTTGATTTCGTCAAACTTTATTACGAAAAAGGTACGAAACATGCAAAATACCAGTATTAATAGAAAATCTTTATTTGTGGATAAATCTTTTTTTTCCAATACAAGGTTGTCGGATATTCTTGACCGGTTCATATTAAACATTAAGCAAAATGAGATATCAGATGAAGGACACTGCACTGCTTGATGTGTCTTGTTATCCATCTGAACAGGGAGGTATTGGTTTTTAAAGAGATCAACCAAATCTTTATCACCTGATGCGAGTGTGTACGTGACTCTGTAAAGAGAAGGGGCAGTGCCTTCTAGGGTTTATCTATATATAAATTAATGTGACATGCACGACATTACAGAAGATACTGCATGCGCATTGCAAGCTGCAAAGTTACGACTTAACATCTTTTGCTGCCATCTAGTGATTATTTTGGATTTTGAATGCAAGGATTCTCTTTAAAACGCAATCACATTTCAAAATACAGCAGCATTTTCCAGGCTATTTCGATGAATAAAGCCGTTGTGTGTGGTTTTTTTTTTTTTGCAAATGGGATTTATATTTTGAGTTACAGATCTAGTGTTGATGTAAATTAGAACAATTCATTAATGTGCTCTCTCCATCATCATAATGAATGCTCTCTCCATCTTGAAATCCCACTTAAAACTGTAGCCTTTGTGACACTCTCAGTGTCTTCCTCCCCGTCTCCCTTTTGAGTCTGACACCATCCCTCTGTGAAAGGTTTAATATCAATGCAAGCTGTTGCTGTTGTTGCTCTATTTCATAAATGTTGGGTTTCCAAGTTAAGAAAATAAGAATATTTAACATTTCTGACCCTTTAGAACAGATCAAAGAAACATTAAAAAACACACAAGACCAAATTATTTTTGCAGAATGCTGCAGAACTACAGTGTAAAATACATAATCACAGATAAAACGAGGGAATGTTTCTCAGCAACAACAATTTACATTTAATATAGTGCCCTTCATCCGGTTAGAGTCTCGGAGCGCTTTAACCCATTGATCCGATCTTATAAGATCCGTGTAAGGATCAAAAGGGGACTCACCGAGTTTAATCCTCTTTACAGGGTTGGGGGAGAGGCAAAAACAAGACTGTTCAGTAATTCACCCCAATTGATGTGTTTGGTGGCATTGAAAGGGACGGACATCGGTGAGTCTGTTCCAACCACTAGAATTGCGTCTGTTCTGTTTGTAGATGCTGAACTGTTGAGACTCACTTAATAATATAATAATCTTTGCATTTGATATAGCGCTTTTTCACGTCTTTGAGATGTCTCAAAGCGCTTCACAGAATAGACTGTAAAGTGAATTGACTGTATATTTGTGGGCGAACGCGGCAGCCAATTGCGCACAGCAATGTCCCACAAACAGTCGTGGATTGAAAATGACCAATTTATTATTGTTTTGGTTTTGGAGGGATTATTATTAGGCTCTGTGTGGAGTAAGGAAACTTGCCCAAGGTTACGCCCTCTGCCTGGAATTGAACCCAGGTGTCTCGCTTGCAAAGCGAGTGCTCTAACCGCTGAGCTACAGGACTCCACTTGGAGATCTTGTGTGCTAGAATCTCGACCTGAGCAATTGGCTGCCGCGTTTCGCCCACAAAATACAGTCACTCCACTTTACAGTGTATTCTGTGAAGCGCTTTGAGACGAGTCAATGACATAAGGTACTATAACATATGCAAGAATTATTATTATTGAACTCCGTCCATTCATCTTTGGAAAGAGCGGGGGAGTGGGACTGATTGGGTCGCTCTTCTAAAGAGCCGGCACAGGCATGATGGGCTGAATGGCCTCCTTCTGTGCTGTAATATTCTATTATTCGGTGTGTACCCCTAAGTATAACGGCTCTGCACAGCTTGAGAGGGTGACCTTGAAGGTACCAATTGAAAGATATAAGCAGAATCCATCCCAAAAGTGTTGATTTGTATCAGTATCTGGGGATTGTGGTGGACACCATTTTTTGCTTAAGACACTCCTTTGGGACTTTGCTGAGAAAGGGCAAAGGCCTCTTTGGCCATTCTCATCTCTCTTCAAAGTCCCAAACACAGGTTAAGCTTGTAATATAAAAGTTGTGTGTCCAAATAATTCTCCCTCATGGTTTCGAGTTCCTGGGCACGCAACAACAACAACAAAATTACATTTGTAAAGCGCCTTTCACGTCGGGAGGATATCCCAAAGCCCTGGACAGTCAGTGTTTCGGACCTGATGGAATGCAACGGAAGTATCCTTTGGTTCGTTCAAGACCAGGTGAAGTGGATTAATGATGAAAAGTGAAGTCGTCACAGGGAGGGAGGGTTTCCAGTCTACACTGATCTGTCACAGAACACTCGAGAGGCACAGTTGGAGGCTCTAGAGGCACATTTTAAAATTAATTTCGCTTTCACACCATTATTCCAGAAGCACAGAAAATTGTGTTAACCTAAGTTTCCTTAATGTGTGGATTAAAACCTTCTTTCTCTCTTTCTCTCTTTCTTTCTTTCTTTCTTTCTGGCCTTAAGACTGGTCTTAACAGCGGGAAAATTCATTCCACTACCTTCAGCAGTCTGTTCCAACAATAAACTTACACTGATGTTTAATAACTATTAAACCAACACTAATGCGTCCCAAATGAGTCAATAAAATATCAGTCTGTGAAAATAGAGTATTCCTTCAAGACAGCCCTGGAAAATTCTGATTGTACTTTTTAATGTAAATCAGGTGAATTATTGACGAAATGACCATATACAATGGTGACAGATGAAACAAGCACAGTTCATTATATAAGTCTTCTTATATACGATAAAAGTGTTGCATTAAAGCCGCATGTAAGGTATTACAGCTTTTATATTGCACACAAAAGAAAAGTGACTCACGCTTACCAACAGAAAACAAATATTAATACAAGGAAGACTTGTGACATTAGATGCAGGTCTGTGAATTCTTATAATATTTGGTTTGTAATACTTCAATGATACACCCAATACATTTCAAATAAGAATTATTTACAGAAACAGAACCCAACATATCAAACAACCACCATAAACCAGTACAATATGTTTCAATGAAGCTCAAATATTCCCAAATATGTTGTTCCATAATAATATTTCTATAACGTAAGAAGCTTTTTCTTTAAAGTATGATTTCTCCTCTTTGTCAATTTTATCTACTCTCTTGAAGGCATTTTGATTCCTCCCCCCACTTACTAGGATACAGTTTCGAGGGGGCCTCACCCAAAGGGACAATTAGTTATATGTGAGTCTTGATACTGTCGGAAGAACATTTAAAATATAGGTCCTCTACACATGACCGCATTTTGCTCCACACACGTGCATTTCTAGCAGGGCTGCTGAGTAGCGATCAGGAACTCACAAACCCCCAGTTACCTTTCCAATCCGAACCCAGGACACTGAGCTCCTTGTGCAACTACGTCTGACTCAATCAACTGACTCACAGATTGGGGAATCGAACCTGGAAGCTTCCTGATCTGTATGCCACGTTTGCCCAGTTAGTTGCTGGGTTAAACGTGCCAAGCCACTAGGGAATCCGGCTGTTGCAACAATTAAATAAACGGTTTTGTTAGTAATAGTTTACTAAAGCTATAAATACAATGCTTGGTAACAACCTCCTGGCAATAAGCATTTGAAAATGTACTGTCTCAACTATTATATTAATTTAAAATCACCCTATTTCATTTAAGGTGCATAATACTGTATATTGAAGGGAAAAGGCATATTTTACAACTTTTAACAAACATCGAGTGGGAGCTGTTTCCAGGTTTTGCAGAGATGGGCGATTTATAGTTTAACATTTCTTGTTTTATTATACACATGTCAGTGATGACAATATTACTGTATACATTTAGGACTGTTACAGCTTTGCTAAACATTGAGTACTAGTTTATAGCAGAAAACTAAAGTGAAGTGGACCCACAAACCAAACATTACGCTATGAATGTGCAAGTATACAATACTTAGGGTTAGACTTGCATCCAGGTAAAGAGGATAGTGCTTGGAAACATGTGCGAAGGGTCTAAAGAATCCCTAAAGCTATGATCTCCTGATCAGATGGCTGTGATCTCCAGACTGTTACGGAGAAAGAAAAAAAAGCGACAGAACATTTTAGCATAACACTTTATGCCGCCCTTTTCAAAGGCACGAAACAAACAAAAAACATGTAATAGCTTCAGATCAGCATCCCGGTTTTTTAAATAATTCTTGCATTTGATAGAACAATTATCAGCGTTACCATTATTGACCTTTCCCCAGCTTACTCTCACGTATTTGAGAATTTCTTTTCAATAAAAGCAGGGGAGGGAGGGATGGAGGGGGGGTGGCGACTGTCATGATTTTAAAAGGAACCAGGTGTAAATTACTCGTTCTCTCTGTAAAACATAACCTAAGCATTATTGACAAGTTATAATGTTGAAAGACAATATTTTTGCAATATTAATGTCAATGATAGTATTAAGTCTCCCTTTCCAAACATTCCCTCATCTTCGCAGGCAACTGCACCAGTCGCTCATTTTTGAGCGCCATTTCCCTTTTTTTCCCGCCACATGGCGACATCGAGGACACCGGTTGTGGGCAGCATGCCACAGGCAGCAGTTACAGCAGAGCACGTTGTTTAAAATATTCTCCATCGCAGCTGGCCGATAAAACAAACAACAAAGGGGAGCCTCTGAACAGAGACCGGCCCAAGCCTAGGGGGTTGCTGACGCGTGAAATTTAACAAAGGCTATAGCTGCTAACTCCTTACAGAACTCTTCCAGTACAATCACTCCTTCCAACAAAGTCATATGGTCAATGCTGCCGAGAGAAAAGGAAAGAGAAGGGTGAGTGAGCGTTCATGTGCAGTAAATATCTCAGAACTTTATATTCCTATACAGCTCGGCTCGCAATGCAATCAACTGAAAATTGAACCTGTGATAGTAGTCAGCCAATGTGCTACGGTTTTCAAAAGTTTTAAGAAACTGATTCACCTTCAGGAAAATGGCTAATGGTCAACGACCGCGAGCCAATTAGACAAAATTAAAATGATAATTTAAAGATACCTGTGAAATTGCAGTATGTTTGGCGCATTCAAATGATCGTGCTTCATCAGCACTGAATATATTTGCACATAAGCAGGTTGGACACTGAATAAAAACCTTATTCAACCTAGTGCATGTGAATCAGCCAATTCAAAGTTATGTTTGGGTAATTTATTCTGCCCATCCGTACTGTAATAATAATAATATTCCTTGCGTTTGATACAGCACTTTTCACTTATAGAGGGCTTTTTACGTCTTCTAGTCGTCTCAAATGGTGAAAAGTTCCTTCTATTCTGCCAGTATAATATTGAACTACTTGTAAATCATACGTTTCAACATCCAGGCCACGAAAAATTTGCTGCAATTCAGAGACTGAAGTAGAAATAGACTGTTTGCAACTGTTTGTAATTGTATTTCATGATAATTTATATTAGCCAAAGAATTAACACTTCAACTTTCAGAGGGGCTGATTCAGATCACAAAGCTTACTCATTTCCTGTTAACCCCTCTTAAGAATTTTGCAGTTTGAGTCAAGCATATTGTAAGCTCACCTAAGTTTATAGCAAACAATTTGTTTGGTCATCGTTTTTAGAGAAGGGATACAAAAGCACATTTCTGGTGAGAGACGGGTGTTGAAGAAGGGAAAGGAATTTTATTTATGGTCTTTCTGCCTCATTAGCTAGGGTTTAACATCGACTGGAAGCGCATTTGGAGATTGAAGCACGCGCGACATATATCCAAGTAAGTGATTGATGTAAACTTACATAGGTCCATCTGACTCAAATCCCAGCAGACGTTTTCGGACTAACAAAAGCTTTGGTGTGAAATCTGGGATTCGCTGTATTCTCAGCATTAAGTCTCCAACCACCTAGATGTTCAAACAGTGAGAATTGAGCAAAGCAGTGCTGTACATATTCTTTTGAGCATTGAAAATAATAATCCTTGCATTTGATACAGTGCCTTATCACGTCTTCGAGACGTCTCAAAGCTCCTCACAGAATATACTGCCTGGGAATCGAACCCAGGTCTCTCGCTTGCGAGGCGAGTGCTCTAACCACTGAGCTACAGGACTCCAAATGCTTTTTGGATGAATTATTAGGTGCATTCATGTATTTACAATTAAATCCATGTCACATATTTTATCTGAATATGGTGTAAAAAATATTGCATATTCAAAAAGTATAACTAACTGGCGATAAAAGAGTACAGAAAGGTTAAGATGCACTTACCCTCACGATAACAGAGAACAAAGACCTGCACCCAGGAGCCAGGTTTATGTAGGGATCCAGTAAGTACTCATGTATGTGTGGATGGGGGAATAATGACAGTTTTGACAAGACAGACGTCACTTGCAAATTTACATCATAAGGCTGAAAAGTGAGAAAAGGATAAAAAATATTATTGCTTCCGACTGCAAAGCATGTGACAGGAAAACAAATCCCACTCAGTCAGCCAGTCCAGCAGTGCATTCTCTGATCTACTGCTGCTTCACACGTAATGCTATATCCACTACACGGTTTACCAGCTGATAAAACCATAAAAAAAAGGCCAAATTAACACTAACCCAATGTGAGGCATAATACTCTGAACCCGAAAGACAAGGGATTTATGCAGTTGCCGTACTAGAAGGCTCTCACTTTAAATACCCGCTTGAAAGTGGTCCAGTTGCAGACCTCATTCACGGGCTTAAGGAAAATAAGTAGTTGCATGTCTATGGCCAAGCGACCTCATTTCAAGAGCAGCCAACTCTATCTCAGACCTTAATAGGCTGAATCGCAGCACAAAACCAGCTTGAAAATACGCTGCAAACAGCACTCACGTTGGCAACGTCTGAGAGTCATGCAGTTTGCGAGGTGAAAAAGTGCTTTCGGGTCAAATATTACAGTCAGTTGGCTGCAATTTGCTGCCTTGAATTTCTTCTCCTTCCCCAAAGCTGTCAATGCCTGATGAGGTTCAATATGGCAGCACCCTCCAGGACTTTCTCCAAGTGGCTATTCTTAATGTGCGAGCCCAGACAAAGTGTTTGCAGGTTAATTGACTTTGGGAGTGCCAAAGCTGTCTCCGATCTTGTCCATACCTGCACAGCTTTGTGCTAAGGAGAAAGAGGAGGGTGGGGAAAAGGGTCACTTGTCACTGATTACAAGTGGGTAAAACCTGTATGAGGTTTTCCTACAGCAGCCCAGAGATGTTGAGATCAATAGCTGATCCCCAATTACCATGCCAGCAGGGACAAGGAAATCCTAACCCGAAGAAATTCTTGGTATTTATGGCTCCATTTTGCACTGGGAAATCAGTGAAACTTTGCATTGTAGGTACAACAAGAATGAAGGTTCTTGATGTGGTCACTGAGCATCAAGTAGAAAAAGTACCACTTCTAACTCAGTAAACCATTCTCCTCAAACAGAACAAATCGGCAGAGAAGGAAACATTAAAAGTATTGTAATCGAATCACCACATTCACCTCCAACCTGTTTCACAATACCTGATCAAGGATCCTGCCCATTCGATCAAACAGAACTTTGAGAAAATGTCCCTCAAAGAAAGTGGCTTCCAAATTGCACTTCTCCAAAGGTTTTGGCATCCCTGGCCAATCCCACCTCATGCAGTTTCCACAACATTCCCGAAACTGAATCAACAATAAGACAAAATGAGTAAAGTTAGTCCTTCGTCAAACCGAGGTCCTGTTCTGGCGGGGACATTAAAAATTGTTGACACTATTCAAAGAGAAGCGAGTTTCTCTCTCCCGGTATCCTGGCCAACAAATCACCCAAATAATATTGGTCACTCACTCCATGGTTGTTTGTGGGACACACTGCTGTATGCAAACAGGCTGCTGCGTTTTGCCCACAAAATATACTTTCAATTCACTTTACAGAATATCCGGTGAAGCATTTTGAGACGTCTTGAAGACGTGATAAGGCGCTGCATCAAATCCAAGGATTATTATTATTATTATTTCCTCCACGAGAGAACGTCTTTAATAGATTTTTTTTCTAGGTACTGGCTGTAGTAAAAATGTTCCAATTTTGTATAGATTTATTAAAATGTCTCACCTGCTCATGAAAAATGAGGGAATTTGTTAATTGCAGCAAAACAAAACTATGCCCAGGCTCGCTCAGATTTCAGGTTTAATTTAAGAACGAAAAAAATAGATTGGTTAGCTGCAAAATTCCTATTCTATTAACAAAGTTACCCTCCTGAGATGACAGGCAAGCCACAAAATTTTACTTGTGTCATGGGTATCTACAGATTGAACTGGTATTAGATAATGAGTAAATGGTTGATTACAATCTGCTATGGTAATAGTTTTCTATATCATCCCCAGCCAAACAGGGTTGATAATAATGATGATAATCCCTGCATTTGATACAGCACCTTATCACGTCTTCGAGACGTCTCAAAGCGCTTCACAGAATAAACTGTAAATTGACTATGCTTTGTGGGTGAAACGCGGCAGGCAATTGGGCACAGCAGCGTGCCACAAACAGCCGTGGATTGAGTGACCAATTTATTATTTTTTATTTACTTTGGGGGGATGGAATTATTACCCCACGAAAAAGCGATCTGCCAATCGACTAATAACCGGGTTCCTACTTACTGCTAGGTAAACAGAGGTGTGTGGAGTAAGGAAACTTGCCCAACATTTCGCCCTGCTTGCTAGGCGAGTGATCTAACCACTGAGCTACAGGACTCCACAGATATATGTCCTGAGCATTAGAAATGCAAGAGATTGGTCTTATTTTCCCACCACTGTGAGATCACTTCAAACACCGTAATTTTCCTCCCCCTCCCAATCCCACAGGCAAGTACAAGTATCTCTGACATTCAATTACTTTTGCCGTGTGATAGCTTGACTTAGCCAGAAGCATGCAAGGATAAAGACAAATTCTTATTTAACCTAGTTAGCACATGAGAATAAATCCTCTGCACCAACCAAGTCATTTGCTTGGCTGCAAGTTGTGTTTGTGTGAAAGAACAGGCAGAATGTGGTGCAAACCAAAACTCAGTAGTACCGTTGTGTGAGAAAACAAAATTGTTTGCAGTTATTAATATGTAGCCTACTTCTAGAAATTTAGTTCTTCACTAGAGGCACCAGGATTTGAATTAATATTAATAATAATCCTTGATTTGATATAGCGCCTTATCATGTCTTCGAGATGTCACAAAGCGCTTCACAGAATATACTGTAAAGCAAATTGACTGAATATTTTGTGGGCGATACGCGGCAGCCAATTGCGCACAGCAGCGTCCCAAACAGTTGAGTGAACAAATTTTATTACCGCCGGAAAAGCGATCTGCCAATCAACTGACAACCGGGTTCCTACTCACTGCTAGGTAAACAGAGTTGTGTGGAGTAAGGAAACTTACCCAACGTTTTAAACTGCCCAAGAATCAAACCCAGGTCCTCTCGCTTGTGAAGGGAATGCTCTAACTAAAGGACTAAAGGACTAAAGAACTAAAGGACTAAAGAACTAAAGGACTCCACAAATTAAAATAGATAATGCGTAACAGACAGCAGTTACACAATCAAGGCAGGAACATAAAACATCTGTCCATCAAACAGACAGGCTGATCCCCTCTTTCATAGCTACAAGAGAGGAGATATCTCCCTGTAGATCCTTTTTAGTGTTGACAGATATTACTTGTGTGGAAGTATGAGCTTAAAACCGATATTAAAGAAAGCCAGGCTTGTTGAAAGACCAAAAGAAGCTTAACTTTAGGAAATGTCTTGAGGAAAAGCAGATTAAAACCGCAAATAAAAATCCTTCAAGCTGTCACAGCTGATTTTTAAACCATTTTGACACAACAGAATATTTACCTGGGTTACTATTGAAAAATATGTAGCGAATAAGCATTGAGTGATTAGAGATCTATAGACATCTATACAACCCAACTTTGGTCATTTATTTCTCTCAAGATTTTAAGATATACCTTACCTGTCTATGTGCATCTCTGAGGTAGGTATCATAGCCTGTACCTTCTACATGGTAAGAGGATTTTGCTTCATCAGGGACAAGGCATAGGAAACTAACGTTTTTAAAAAAAAATATTTTTAACATATGGGATATAACTCATTGAAAAATCTTACATTTCATTGTTATACATGTTTAACAATTTTAAAAATTACAGCATAAAAATTAACTTATGTCAGACATTTTAACATGAGATTTCTCGAAAGGTAACATTTAGCTAGCAGGCTTATCGACTGTCCACTGTAAATAGGTTTTATTAAAAAAAAAGACAGTTTAACTCTGCGTCACATCCGACCCAAAGGCAAAATTAAAGTCTTAATTGGTCACAAATACAATGTCACCATTTCAAAGCTGCTTCTACTGGGGATTCAATGTTTGATTGAAACGATACGAAACATAGCTGCAATATGTTCACAAGTTCTAAAGCACAAACCCACAGAAATTCATTAGATATACTTGTACCTAGCAATAACTATTTTATAACCATAAGCCAAATTATACACTCAACTATTAAAAACGGCGGTTTACAAACAGATCGCAACTCAAAATTACCAACGTGAGATTTTTGTATCTATTGAAACGTACATTCTGCATTTGGACATACCTATTTACAATTTTATGAACTTCTGTCTTCCCGTCAGGTTTTGTGTGGTCTGGGGTAGGAGGTGGGGAAGTAGTCAACCAGTCAGACCCGAGCAATCTGTTATCGGGCGACAGGTCTGTAAAAAGAGGATCTTCCTCCAGGTCTCTGAAGCCAGGAACAAAGATCAAACGAGGCAAACAATCAGAAGTGTACACTTTGTGTACATAATAATAATCTTTATCAATAATTTAATATTGCAGTGTACCATGTTGAAATAATAATCCTCAAAATGTCTCAAAGCGCTTCACAGGTAAAGTTGATTGACGGTATATTTCATCCGTAAAGTGGATTGATTGTATATTTTGTGGGCAAAATACAGCAACTAATTGCACACAGCAGCATCCCACAAACAATCATGGATTGAGCGACCAAATTATTATTATATTTATTATTATTTTTGTGTCTCAAATGTCTCAAAGTGCTTCACAAAGTTTTTCTGTAAAATGTTGTGGTTGTGTACGTGTTGTTAAATGTGCGTCCATCAATTTGCACAGCAATGTCCCGCGAACAGCCATGAAGTGTACGACCAATTTTACGCAGGGAATTGTTGGCCAGCACACTGGGAGAAAAAAACTCCCTTCATTTTCATAACACTGGGAAATTTCACTCCTAGGACTTCAGTTTGTCTCAGGTCCTGCTGATGATATGAAAATGTATCCTCAGTTTGATATCCTTGCTATAAAGGGCTGCTAATATTACACAACTTGTGTTTGGAAAATGTCCATTATGGAGAAACAACTCTGCAACATCAGTTGCTGGACCCTTCCTTAGCCACAAAATATAGTCAATCCACTTTGCAGTATATCCCGCGAATCTCTTTGAGACGTCTCGACGACACGACGAGGCAGCATATCAAATGGAAGGATTGTTATTATTATTTATTATTATGTCGTCCCTGTCTATTCAAGGCGCTTCTTTACTTACTGTTGGGAGTTATATTCTTGAAGGACATAGTTCACAAACTAGACGGTTTTGCATTAGTGCTCTTCTAAGTGTGGGTTAAGACATGCATCTGCAGAACGGAGGGAGCTTTACTACGCGACTGGTTGTGCTGTACTTAATGCAGGGATGCTTTACCAGCTGGCCAGCACTATCATCTCTCATTTTAAGCAGCTCTCCCTCATCTCACCTATAAATCAAATTACAACTCTTTAAACTTGTAACAAGCTTCAATGCCAGAGGTTGGTCACATGAAACTTGTACTAATTATTTCAAAGTAGCACTCATTTTTCTGCAAGAACAACTAATACTTAGTGCTGTGCGTCAACAATAGTTGAAATTTCTTTCATCCTCACGACAAATGTAGCTTCAGAGTTTTTCTTGCCGAAGAATATATTTCCAAAAGTGATTAGAAACATGAAATACTGAATCATTTTCACTGATCTCTGCTTTTTGATGCCAACGCCAACAGATTTCACCCACATCAGGGAGGTGTTCCAGCACAAATTGTTAGGAACCTTTATCATTTTATCAAGATCACAGCAATGCAGGCTGTTTCTCCTGGTTAGAAAACTACTTTTTCTGTGGTTTTGAGAAAATCTTCACCATCGCCATACCTGAGATCTTCAATGGCCTACTTACTTACTCACTGGCCTCCCTCGCTCTAGCCTTTACAAGCTCCAGACCAACCAGAACAACAACAACAACAACAACAACAACACGATTCCATTTATAGAGCGCCTTTCACGTCGGGAGGACGTCCCAAGGCGCTGAAAAAAATCCTTTCATTTGATATAGCGCTTTTCAAGTCTTCTAGACGTCTCAAAGCGCTTCACAGAAGTGAAAGTGTAAAGTGAATTGACTGTATATTTGTGGGCGAACGCGGCAGCCAATTGCGCACAGCAATGTCCTACAAACAGTCGTAGATTAAAAATGACCAATTTATTATTGTTTTTGGTTTTGGAGGGATTATTATTAGGCTCTGTGTGGAGTAAGGAAACTTGCCCAAGGTTTCGCCCTCTGCCTGGAATTGAACTCAGGTCTCTCGCTTGCGAAGCGAGTGCTCTAACCACTGAGCTACAGGACTCCACAGAACTTTGATGACCAGCTTCTCTCCCACACAAGGCTCTGTGAACCCTTCATCTCCCTCTGTACTGGCAGCCCACCTCCCTGCAAATCTACTTCAAGACCCGCGTCTTTACCGTCAATGGCCTCTGCTATCTCCCTCCACTTTGGCCTCTAAGAGGCAGGCAAGCAGGCTTTCAGCAATTTAGCCCCGGCTCTCCGGAACAATCTTCCAAATTCCCTGTTCCTCACAGTCTCTTTCTCTACTTTCCAAACCCGTCTGAACAATTCTCTCTTTGACTGGGCCTTTGACCATCTCTCCTTAGCTCCCACCCCTTCTTTATAACTTCAAAGGCGCTAACTAAGTGCAATTTTTCTGAATTATTTATGGAAAACCCTTTCTTTGTGTTGGGGGAGAAAAAAAACATACATCTTTATGTTTGAGCTGTACAAAGTACTCCATGCACCCCGTTATTTTCTAGGGAATTAACTGCTTTTAATGCAAGGTTGTGATCCACGATGACCTTTTACCCTCACTGTCCATTAGAGAATCAAAGTCAAAACATATACCTCATCAGAATTTTACTATTCTCTTTTTAAAAAAGGCAGATGGCCCTCACTTTAAAAGCAGACAGAGGCAGAGGACATTCCACATGATATACCAGTCAACGACGCAATAAATTTCTCTTTCAAAGACCAAAAACTTCAATGAGCTTTTTTTTCCAACTCAGTTTAAAGCAAATAGCTTCAGGCAATTTAGCACATTAACTATGAAAATCTGAGTCCCAATTAAAGCACTTCAGTCATCAGAAATGTTTTTCTTGGAAGATTTCCTTGGAAAATGTTCATTTACTTTTAAATGGCACTAATTTTATAAGACTCTTTGTTTAGTTCTTCAAGGATGCCCTATCTCTAAATCATTGTCACGACTAACTTTGAGCAGTTTTAAGACCATAGTTTTACAGTTTTTAAGGACATCTGGTATTCTAGGATCGCCTACTTCAAAATTACAGAGGACCACATCTAGTTTACACATGCATTGGATTTCAGAACCTTAGCATCATTCCTAAAAACATGACTTTACAACATGTCAACTTTCACAAGTCACATTGTAAAATTATCAATGCATTTTGTAGATAATACTGAATATTTGTTAACTTCTTCACAGTAAGGTTTAACAATAATTTTCAAAAAATCCACTGCGCAGGAACAAATTGCAGAAACAACTTTGAACATCAATGGTTAAAACAAAAGGGCTTTTCCCACTTTTAAGACTTTCCATTACCTTTGTGCTTCCTAACGCCAACACCCCCCATACCACCACCTCTGATGTGTCTCCCGGCTCCATGGCCCCCCCTGAAACCATCTCACAATCCCCCAGGGCTCCGCAGACCCCAATTTGAGAACCAACGTTGATTACATTTATACATAACAGTGTCTACATGTTTCGCCCACAAAATAGTCAATTCACCTTACAGTATATTCTGTGAAGTGCTTTGAGATGCCTCGAAGACGTGATAAGACACTATATCAAATGCAAGGATTATTTTTATTATTATTACATAGATTCCCCACATGGGCAATTGGTTTTGCGTGTCGATCCACTGTATTTATCCTGTTTCAAATGCCAGAATAGCGGGGAAAATAAGCACTAAATTACACAATGAACTTGAATTCATACCACTGTTCGGAATTCAGATCAGAAAGACTGACTAAAAGAGACAGAAGTTAAATACTGTATTACTAAGTGGATTTAGATTAGCCTTAATTATTTGTTTGGAAAAGTAAATAGCTATGGCCATAAAATGTATAGACTAGATAAGGAACATTCCAAAACAAGTTGATAACATATTGTTGTTTCAAGGTAAACTGTGAATCACCAAGAATAGCACATAGTCATATCCTATACAATATTATTGACAAAACTAAGTTCAATCACCAGTCCAGCAGGAAGAAGCATGATCGTGAAGGAGGTATAGAATTACTCACACTGCTCCTGCGATCTGTCCATTTTCTACTATATCCTTGTCTTCCTGGCAGGGAGGTTTATTCTCAATGTAGTTCCGCTCTTCCAAATTCCTTAAGACCATGCTGTAAATGATGTGCTCATTTGGTTTCAGCAATAGGTGCTCAAACATCCTCAGCGTCATTATACTGATCTACAAAACGTAGGAGGCATATGCTCTTAAGTGCTTCTATTATTTAGCAGTTTTATTAACACACCGTTTATTTCGGGTAGTGTTATTCACTGCACTGCTGATTTAAACTGGGAAGTCTGTATAAAGCAGATCATCCCATCGTTTTTTTTTGCAAAGCACATCAACCCCACCCAGTGGCAGTAATCAGGTATTTACAGACATGAAATGTTTCTTTGCAGTTCATAGCAAAATATGCTATGTGAATCACACTTGTTCTATCTACGCTGTATGATATAGGTGGCTGAGAATCAGAGATGTTTAACACACGTCATTCAACACATTACTTATGGACTATCCTATGAATTCAAACAGAAACATTCAAATATTTGAATGGATCCAAATTTCCTGTGTATAATAATTGTTTATGCAACAGTCCAGCTGAATTATTTGCTTCCATTTTAAATTGGACAAACTTAACAGGACAAAGTGTTCAGCTCTTGATGGGGAAATCCATTTGCTGAAATTAAGCAATTCATCCCGGTGAATCAATGTTTTTTAAAACAAATCCTATTTAACATACTTGGAATCCTGTACATTAAAATGATCATATAGCTCCAATGTAGCTATTCAACAATTCCCTCCCACTGATGTATTGTTTCTAATGTACTAAAAGGTTGGGTTTCATCAATATTATAGTGGTCTCCTGCAGTTTAGCTATGCCATGACTTGTATCCACAAAAGCAATTAAGACTTCTACTTTCTTGCTGAGTTACTTTTAATCTCCCCCCAACACATATTATCATGAGGTATTAAGCAGGATTCATTATTACAAAATGAAACAATTCTACCTTGAATAACAGGCTTTGTGCCATAGCTTGGCATTGCTGCAATAGAATTACCAGGAGATTCTTGCCACTTTCAAACACATATTTTATATGTTGGGAGCAGCGGTCTCACTATCCATTTAGGAATCTGGGGCTGGGATTCTCTTCCCCTACAGTGAGCCCAATATTCCACCAGTTGGGTATAGTATAAAAGTTGGATAACCATGTATAAACACACATGTATTCTGGGCCATGTGTAAGCCCATGTCAAGAGGGAATTACAAATGCCCTTAATTACGTCAGTAACAAGCAATGAAAAGAATCTTTTCATTGGGGTTAATGCATATTTAATGGCACCTGCTGTACATAAATTTTTTACATGGTGCAAAACACACCTTTTACACAATTTACGCATTAATTTAATGCAAGCATGGAATCTATCACTTTACCAGAACCAAGAGTGGATGCAAGTGATGGAACTGTTCTATTATGTCTCACCTACAAATGATGCAACAGATTTTGAACAAATGAATGCTCACCTCGTCTGAGAGATGGTCACAATGTTCTATCAGCCGATATCGCAGCTGGTGCTTGCTATCTCCGGGCGTTTCAGGCTGTCTCTGCTCTCCTAACAGGAAGAAGACCAACTCTTGTAGCATGGCGTGGGATGTGATCTGTCGGATGATGCGATTTAGAAGCGATATCGATGTCAGAATACCAATCTCTGATCTACAAAATAACAAGCATTTTTTTTATAAACCAGAGCAAAATGTAACAATGTCTTGTGCAACTAAAATTAAGGACAAACTCATCTGCACTAAGTTATTCCCTCAAGAACGAAAACGTGGGACAGCCTCATCTGCCTATTCATACCTACTATGATTTAGATAGAAAGTGGAGATACATTTGTGCCCTTAAACTCCCTCTTTCTGAACAAAATTGTAGGAACTTAGGATCAACAATTCTAAATCTGGGAAACTCTTGATGAAAACGTCTGCTGAGAGTTAAAGCCAGATACCTATGGCACAATGTTTTATTGGTTTACAGATATCCGTGTTATTAAATAATAAAATACCATTATGTGTCATTTTGATTTGGAAACCCTTTGAATTCAGGCTCTTTCAATGGATAAAACAATACTTTGGAAATAGTATTTAAACCGTGTTTTCCCAGAAATGTCAGAAAATGTCAGTTAATTTATATGCTGGAAATCTGTCGTTCTCTCCGGGGACTGCAGAAGTGAACTGAAGGTTGTATTTTTATTTCCTGTTCGGTAAGAAATTCCCCAGAGCAGAATATCAATGCTAGGTCCCATCATTTTGATGAACAAATTAAGCCAGCTTACGTCTGCAACAGTTGTGGTTCCATGACAGGTACAAAGAACTCCTCCCGAATGGCTCTCGCCATGGCAGCTGCAGTCAGCTGTAAACAAAACGCACAAATAAGGAATACAGCTGGCGATTAATTTCCCACTTAACACTACAGAAATTCTGATTATATAATTATATAACAATAGTCACAGAGCCACATTTGAACGGTGAACAGCTTTATTCATTTATTTTGGCACAGATGCATTAAAACTGATTGTTTAATTCTCCTGACTCCAAACCAACTCAAAACATCCAAAGTCTCATCAACGATAACATTAAGGCTTTGTTTCCCATTCCAGCCAAGTGAATAAGGGCACTGCTCATTGTAGAACTGGGTCACACAGATTGCAATGTGGCAGGTTCAAATTCTGTGCTAAGGTAACCAATATCTGTTGGGGAGCTAAAATTGGCTTTAGTCTTTGGAGTAAGCAAGGGGAAATTAGCCAAGGTTATGAGGATCCCTATTGGGAGAGGACAGGATTGTGAATAGTTCCCTATTCCCCCAAATTCGAACATGATTAATGGTATGGAATGGAATGCATTGTGCAAAAAAATGTAAGCAAATTAGTGCATTAATTCAGTTTGGTTCTTGAGTTCCAACCTTGTGCGCTTCTTTAATCAGCTGGTCACAGTAATCAAGCCAAGACAGGAAAGATATGAGAGGTCGCTTTCCCGAGAATGCTGCATCTTCTTTATGGCTGTAAGAATCTAAACTGCAACACAGAAAGGAAGAGACAAAGAATCAATTGGTGCAAACATTTCCACAGTGGGAACGTAGCCCTTAAAGAATGGCATCACTTTCATACGATACCCAGAAGAAAGGCATAGGTTAGATTCCAATAACTGGATATTAAAAAAAATAGAATTTATGTAGATTTGCCAACAAGTATCATCTCTTAAATTATTCAACACATTATTTACTCACTAAAAAACAGGCAGTTTGGCCTGCTCTGGAGACGCATTGCAATTGCATCTTCAATATTTGTGAGTGACATGAGAACCCATCAGTGTGAGATGCCTCTCACTCTCACATACACACACATATACGTGCGCGAACGCACACATGGGTGTAACACTCACACAGACACACAAAATGTCAACAATCTTAATAAATATTCCTCCGAAAAAATGCCAGTTACTGTGAACACTAATGTTCTACTTACCCCCAGTTGACAGATTCCAAAGACTCGATATCCATGGGGTCTATTGACTGTGGCAGTGCTCTGTAGAGGGTGCACAGCCGATCTGTAAGTAATTGGCACAAGGACGTATTCTCAGCCAGGCACTTGGCAGCAGCCGGCTCTGGCAAACTAACAAGTAACATTAGACCTTCTGATGCTTTAACAACAATTCGACCATCCTGAAAAGCAACAGGAAGGAAAATGGTTAGTGTTTTCTTTTCATTCCCAGAATAAACATTGTTCACAACATGTGGAGGTAGAGATCAGCTGGTTTCTCTGAACTACATGCCGACTTTCAGCACGAGTATTCCACAATAGATCGATTTTGTCTGGTACTTTGTACATTTATTAATAATTTTACAAATGCATAAAATCGGAGACTTCCTCAGCACTCGGGCTTTCAAGACACACATTCTCTGGGCACAGGCTCGCAAGTTCCAATTACATTTTCCTAACTGTGCTGCTATGTTTGTACAAAACCAACAACAGCAGCTTGTATTTCTACAGTGCCTCTCACACAGGTTAGGGTCCCAGCCACTTCAAAAGAAAGGACATGAATGGTGCAAAAGCGAACATGATAGGTTATAAAAGATCAGAGGAATTCCTTTTTGCCTTTGAGGAAGGTGGAATAGAGGTTCTCTCCTGGGAGCAAACCTGAAAGGCTTCTTGGGCTTTTTTCACTCCATCGCACCTGTGCAGCTATATAAATGTAGATACATAAGACCCAGTAAAACCTAAATCAAACTGACAGATCTTGTCCTAGTGTACATATTTTCCTCAAAAATGCTACTCATCCATTTAAGAAACATTAGCTTTCATGACAACGCAGGGTATCACCAACAGTTATGCGCATTACCTGGACATTGATTACCACCCTCTTTCCCCTGCCAAGGCAGCATACCCTGATCAAATAATTCTTGCATTTGATCAGGTGCCTTTCACATCAGGACGACATCTCAAAATGCTTCAATGGCTACACTGCTAAGCATAGTGACTGGGTATTTTGCAGGCGAATGGGGTTTTTCATGATATTTGTCAGAAGGAGCTGGAGAAGGAAATCTTATACATACATTTGTTTTGTATTTGCACCTACCGGACTTTTACTGAGATTTAACAACGAGTTCACCAAGTTGTAGTCCTGTGTTTGACAGCGATCAATAGCTCGCGGCTGTGGGAAATGGCCATTTTATTAAGAGAATGCTGCAGGTGAGCGTTTTGCGGGGATGATTCAGTACAGCTGTCCAATTGGCCTATTACAGCTCTGCCGGTAGCGTTACACAGTCCAGCACTGGCATCACTGTCAGGAGCTTCAGCCTTCTGGGTCTCTGAAGATTGGTCTTTAGAATCAAGGGTTTTCCTTAAAACATTTGTTTTGGTCTGGCCGGCACGAGCAAATCCCGTATCTCTTGCAGATTTATTCTGGGAGTTGGTGGGGAGGAAGATAAACAAAAAAATCAGTTCATGACAGAATGGTAATCAAGACACATTGCTTGTTGATTTTAGTTCAAAGCCATACTAAGAACAATAGTACGACTAGCTCACAAGAGTGTAGTTATTCGTGCTCTGTCAGTGTGGAAGCACCCTTCCTATCAGGCAATCCACTGGTCACCGTGAAGTCTTTGGGGTGGGGTTCTGTAGGCAGTTTGTTCTACTCGACTCAAAGCCAGACAGAAGTCAACAGCCAAGAATCATCCCTGCTTGACATCTCTAAGCCTCGCACTGTCTATCCTTTCGGGTTCTGTTTTTTAAACTGCTTTGTGCCCTTAATTACTTGTCTATTACCAATCTGCATTGTAACTCTGTACAGTTGCTAAACCAATTACTGCAAATCATTTCTGCACCCTTATTGCTTTGATACAAAGAAACTTCATTGCCTTGTACACAATAATGCAGGGGATGTTTAGCTCACTTGGAAACTATTAAAACTGGCTTAATGAGACCACACAGTTACGGATAATTATCCAAATACACAGTGCACTCTCTTTAAAGGCTCACTTTAGGCTGCATTTCATTAGGTCACACCTAAAATGTTACTTTGAATTAAAGTCTTGAAAACATAAACACTGAATATTGCATTCAGGCAATAAACTGTAGCACTCTGAAAGGAACAATATGAAACTGAAGGCTAACATCCATACGATCGCCGCGAGGTATAACATTCAAAGCAGATGTGCTATTAAGCTTCAGGCTTTCTGCAGTCAATTTGCTCGAGCTGTACCAAAATCGTGTTCCCTTACTGGACATTTGTCGCAAATTGCCCAAACAGGACACCTTTTAATTCAATTATCTATCTTACAAAATATAGAGAGAACATTATTACTTTATTAAACCTTAACATAAAGATTTAAAAGCATGTTCAATTGTACTGGATTCATTATAAATTCAATTTTTTTTTAATTAAAGCGAAACAGCCATCTGATTGACTTATATCTTGCTGCAAACCACTTGCTGTTTCAATGACTATCTTTGTCATGGAAAATATCCTCCACGTCACAAATTTACTTAACTGGTTATTTTCCTAGGTGCAAATAGTTTGCAAGGTAACAAGAGGGCTGCGAGATGGCAATCTGTAGACAAGGAAGTGGGATATAATCAAGTTTAGGTCCTCCTCTCGTGTTATCTAGTAAGCTGCATCGTCGGTCAAATTTGCTTTTCATTATTGCGCGTAACTATGTTCCACACACATGCCAATTAAGAAACCAAGCAGTCTCTGTAGCTGGGCTGCTGACCTGTAGTCTGAAAGAGTGCAGGACGGGATCCTGGCTCACCTAGCAAACAGGTTTAGAGTAGGAAAATGAGACGACACATGCCAAACAGGGCTTTTGTGACATTAAAGAGTAATGTTCAATAATAATCCTTGCATAATGACAATAATAATAATCCTTGCATTTCATATAGCGCCTTATCACATCTTCGAGACGTCTCAAAGCGCTTCACAGAATATATACATTTAATATGGTATAAATCTAAAAGGCAGGTTATCAGAATGATTTACTCCCACAACTCCTACAGTTAAAAATAGAATAAGCTTTCATTGATGATGGAAAAATTATGGGACGTCTTCCCGACAACAATGTAATCTGTTGTTTTTATTGATACTCGATTTACTTGCATATTACTTGTGTGACTCTCCAGTTGGGACTAGAGCAATGACACCGGAATAAACTGCATTTACACTGAAAACATTTTAAACTAATGGCATTTGTGTAAGTTGCCATTTTTAAAAAAAACTTCCCTCATAGATAGAGTAAAGGCACCACTCAGTAAGTCCAGATGGTTGCTAATTTCAGCTGGAACTCTCCAATGGGTTCAGCTCCCTTGGGTTATGGAAGGTGAAAATCATTCAGTCATTCTGCTTATAACTACTTATGCAAAGGCTCTGCAGTTTTTTGAATGTGTGGATAGAATCAGTCTCAATTGCCATGTCTCCCGAGAACTGACACTTTATTAAAAAAATCCTTGCATTTGATACAGCGCCTTATTGCATCTTCCAGACGTCTCAAAGAGCTTCACAGAATATGCTGTAAAGTGAACTGACTGTATATTTCGTGGGCGAAACGCGGCAGCCAATCGCACACAGCAGCGTCCCACAAACAGTCGTGGACTGGATGACCAAGTTACCACCTTTTTTTTAAAAGGGATTATTACCCCTGAAAATCCGCCAATCGACTACCCACCGGGTTCCTACTTACTGTAGATAAACAGAGACGTGTGGAGTAAGAAAACTTGCCCAATGTTTCACCCTGCCAGGAATCAAACCCAGGTCAACATGATTCTGCTCAAGTCTAGCTATCAGGCAGATGGAATCAACCTTCAAGCAATACCAATGTTGTACTTTGAACAATGTCACAACAGTTCACAAATACTGACTTTGGTTTCAACTAAACCATTTTATTCTTGTGTCAGGCAAGGTTAAAAATATTGATTCTATAAGTGCAATATTTCACTTGCACAGGAAACAAATATAAAAGTAGCCATAATAAATTCTTTATGGTTCCTCTGGCAATAAAATGTCATTGGAAAGCAAAAATTAGAAAGCATCCTTTGAGGCTCCTCCTGACTATAAAACGTAAATTGCTGATGTTGTAAAATGTTGGTGGAAACAGTTGAGAGGATTGTTTAAAAACAAAACAATGCATTTGAGAGCTTTTTTATTTTGAACACAAATTGTGGACAAATCCAGTATTTGCTTTTTTGGGAGGTATAAAATAATAATAATAATCCTTGCATTTGATATAGCGCTTTTCACGTCTTCTCGACGTCTCAGAGCACTTCACAGAATAGACTGTAAAGTGAATTGACTGTATATTTGTGGGCGAAATGCGGCAGCCAATTGCGCACAGCAGTGTCCCACAAACAGTCGTGGTTTGAAGTGACCAATTTACTATTTTTATATTATCAGGCGTGTGGAGTAAGGAAACTTGCCCAAGGTTTCACCCTGTCAGAGCAAAGTTCCTGTTGACTACACAATTAAATCAATCCAATGTGAAGTTTTAATTTCAAAATCTAGTGAAGCCATTAATTTAATCAGAAATGCTATTGCATGATGGTTGTCTCCCCAACCCCCCACTGCTAACTCAAAACAAATAAAACTCAACAAACCTGGCATTTAAGGCACTGACGAGTCTTACAAAGTAACGGGGGAGTCTCCGCTATGGTGGGTTTTTTTTTTGTTGTGTACAATTTGAAAAAAAAGGTCGCAACACTTTCAAACGGTTTGAACTATTTGATTCTGGTGCATTTGAGACATTTTACTGCTCTGACCAGCCGCCAGGTATTATCAGCCAATTACTAAGCAACACCTGAATTTCAAAATGCTTTCAAGTTTTTACTTTGCGTTCTGAGCCAAGAGCAATTTCAAAGATTGCTGCACGATTATCTGCAGCTTTCACCTTCATGACAGAGAATAAGAGCAGTCACCTGGAGCCAGGGGAAATGGCTCAAGACTTGCCCGTATTGAATTGCAAGAAACTGTATTAACTTGGTTATACAGGCAATTCAATGAACTTTCAAAGAAGGGCCCAAGAAACATTCTACAAATTTACATTTCTGACAACTTTACATTCATGGCAAAGCAGCACACTCTTACCTCTAGAAAAAAGTTGACCAAATAGGGATCCTGTTTCAATTTTGCACACACTATACAGAGAAACTGAATTTCTTCGTTTTCAGTGGGGGCAGCAAGAACTTCACCACAAAGTCGAATTAATTTCTGTTAAAAAAAACAAAAAATTGTGACTGAACAGAAGGAAGTTAAGAACGGTTGGAGAAAACGACAACAAGTTTTTGCTTTGGCAGAAGTTACAAGTGTAAGAAATTGTTTTTTCACACAAGGTCACAAGCAAGATTTGGATGAAGAAGGCCCTTTGGCCCTTTTGATCTCATCCTACAAAGTAACCGAAATGATAGTTGAGCCATTATTGTACCTGGACGGGTCTGTAAACATTAATGTGCGGGAGCAAAGGCTGTCGAATCCTTCCCAGTAACTTTGTGTAGAAAACCAGGACTTGCTGCTTCATACCAGGCGGGCACTGGAAACACACAGACACACACCCGAAAGCAACAGTCAGAAATATCCTCAAGAGAATAACATAAAACAAAATGCACAACCTCTTGGCTTCCACATAGAATAAACACCGCCAGCCAGAACAGCGACTGAAATTGCTTTCCTGTCGGGATTCTCTAAGTCTACTTTATCATGTGCTTTGAGACGTCCAGAAGACGTGAAAAGCGCTACATCAGATGCAAGGATTAATACGATTATATTGGCTTGATAAAACAACAACAAAATATTAAAAACAAATTGGATCAATTTAGTGGTGTTATAATTCAAATTTTTGACTCTGGATGTATTCAATCTAATTTGCAACTTTCAAAAGATTCAGTGAGCTTTCTTAGGGCATCACAGCTGTGTGATATAGCTAACATGAAGCATCCTGATTAATTCAAGATACAATGGCTTCAGGAATCATGGATAATTACCGACTTGGGCACTTGGCTGGGGAAGAGGTGTTTAAATGTAAAAAGAGGTAATGTTTTTTTTTAGGGGGGTGGAGAGAGAAGAGGATCAGAGACAAAATAGAAGACTTATCTGAAAGCCTAAGATACAAATTTACCTTCTTGAAAAAACAGAATTATTTTCATAATGATAAATAATCCCTGCATTTGATATAGCGCCTTATCACGTCTTCGAGACGACTCTAAGCGCTTCACAGGATATGCTGTAAAGGGCAGTGACTGTATATTTTGTGGGTGAAATTCATTCTAATAAATAAGTTACATAATGAGATTTAAAAGTACAAAGTAGCGTGATTTAAGAGCAATGGATGCAAAATATCTAAATGAAATTTTCTTAAGAACTTTACCTTTTGGCTGCAGTAAGACAGACAAGTAATTAACCTGAATGTCTATGCAAGTTATTTGATTATAGATTAGGAAATATTATGCTACTTAAATACTTAAATCTGTACCTTATTGTTAATGCATGCTACAATTCTGTGGTAGATTGCTCACTGTAATGGAAAATATTCAGCTCTTCAATATTGTCAAATGCTTCAGCATAGAGCTGGTTCTATCCAATAATGAACCGCTATTTGTTTTACTTGGAAAACTTAAGTTTTAAAATGCAAACAAATTGTCAAGCGGCGTCAATTAATTTTTTAGAAAACAAGCATCAACCCCCCCTGATAAATTTATGGAAATCCATAAACCTAAACGTGCTACATTAATCTGAATCTGTCATGGTATGTTCCGCTTAGACCAAGAATTTCCTGTGAGAAAAATAAAATTACAATATTAATGTATATTTACATAGCGCCTTTCAAAGTTGGGAGCATGTCCCAAAGTGCTTAAAATTGAATGCTGCACGTTTATGCCAATTCTACTGAATAACCAAAATGTGCAATTCCATAGCTGCAGTATGCAGTCCTCCTGACGTGAAAGGCGCTATACATGTAATTTGTTGTTGTTGTTGCTGTATTTACTCTCCACCCTATGACTCAATTCCATTGGAGATGAATTAGCAAATTTGCTGCAGTACATTAAGCAGTGCTGCACAATTCCAAATAGTTCAACGTGTTATAAACTAGGCACAAAATGTACTTATTAAAAGTGTTCATGGGGTATATTTTAGTACCACCTCTTACTCTGTTGAATCTCGTCTCGACTGGTTATTATGTGAAACTCTATAATATTCCTCCTGCACGACATCCCACAGCATACAATACACTTATTCTTAGAACAACATGTTGCTTTATTTAATATGAATGTCTTACAAAGTAAGAGAGGGGGAGGGGGAATCAGAACTCAACATTTATATAATAATAATAATAATCCTTGCATTTGATATAGCGCTTTTCACGTCGGGAGGACGTCCCAAAGCGCTTCACAGAACACACTGTAAAGTGAATTGACTGTATATTTGTGGGCGAACGCGGCAGCCAATTGCACACAGCAATATCCCACAAACAGTCGTAGATTGGAAATGACCAATTTATTATTGTTTTTGGTTTTTGGAGGGATTATTATTAGGCTCTGTGTGGAGTAAGGAAACTTGCCCAAGGTTTCGCCCTCTGCCTGGAATTGAACTCAGGTCTCTCACTTGCAAAGCTACAGGACTCCACGTGTAATAGTGTAAAGTTAAATTTGTTCAGTTTTATAGTACAATAGAATTTATAAAGTGCAGTTTTCAACAGAAATGTGTATATTTGTATTTGAAGAGCACCAAGCCCAAATCAGACAGCCAGAGTGAAGAGCAGCAAATCTGTCAGGTGTGGGCTAAAATAAAGTCTTTTGCAGCCATGGAGAGGGAGGGAGAATTAGTCTCACCCAGGTACTTGCAAGGATTATTATTAGATTAGTATTGCAAAACTCAGGGGTCACATTTCAAAAACAATTTGTTCTTATACTACGACCTTAACTTGCATGCAGTTGGAATGATGTTAAATGTCAGAGGCAGTGAAACTTATTTAAAGAAATTAAAGGAGGAAGTTCAATAAGAGTTACAAAACATACATCAGCTTTTCCCAAGGTGTATAAAGTCTCCAGAATCTTGTGATGCAGCAAGTACTCCATGCAAGGCCCCGTTTCTCCAGACTCTCTCTCACTTTCTTCTTGCACCAAAATATCCAGCATCTGGTCCAGATGTGACGGGATGTTTGTGTCCGTTACTGGAGCTTTGTCATCTATCAACAAAAAAGATGCTCATTTAGGATGTTTAAGACCAGGTTAGCAAATCAAAATCTAAAGATTAAAATCAGATTACCTACTTTATGTATAGATTTCCTCAATCTTTTGAGTCTAGTTTACCATCAAACTACAATAGGATAGACAAGTTCTCCCAGCGACAATCCCTCCCCAAAATTTTAGTTACTGCAGTCAAAGTCTCATAAGAGCCACTGATTTGCTATTCCTGCCCTACATAAAATCCATGCATCTAAGACTACCTCCAACTTTTCCAAGTAAGAGTTAGATATAAAGAAGTAAGTGCTATTGATATGAGGATAAACTACATTTAAAGAATGAGGAAGACTAACAGCCCCCAACCCTCTTCCTCAGGTGGTTTAAATAGTTGAAATGGAAACAGTGCCAAAAACTAAACAGAAATGGGATGGAAAGTCTAGAGAGGTTACTTTTTGTTTCGATTTCAAGATCCTCACTTAGATTTTGAAACCCTTTCATGCCCTGGCACCTACCTACCTCTCCGACCTGCTTATCGCCCAACACACAAACCGCTGCTTCCGCTCAACTGGCTCCAGCCTCCTGCATGTCCCCCATGCCGTCCCCTCCGTTCCATCAATGGTGGCGTGCTTTCAGCCACTACACCCTGAAAATCTTCCTCTATCCCTCTGCCTTGCCCCTTCATTCCCCATTTTCAGGTCGTGCCTGAAGACCTTCCTATTCGACCGTGCCTAAGTCACCTCTCCCTCCCCCTGGCTTGGCGTTGGGCTCCACCACTGTCAAAAATCATGCTCCGCCCTGCGTGAGGGGCACAGTATAATAGCAAGTCATCATTGTTGTTTTGTTCAAAGTACTTCCCCAGCAATAATGGGTGAAACACAGTGTAAACACATGGCTTGTTTGGTACTTGGTATATAGAAGCTCTCCCACCTGAACTGCTGAGCTGCTCCAATAACATTTCCTACAGAAAGGATCCATTTATTTTAATGAAGATGTTAAATTCCTCAAACAATTGTCTGGGATGTCAGAGCTCTAAAAGACATCCAAGCACATTCTGAGAATAAATAACCTCCAAAGAAGCAGTGAAATGTCACCTCTGCTAGCACCGGAAAGGATCGATGACAAGATGTTGTTGACCTGAAGCCTGATACAAATAAATACTGGGGCACTTAGGACACAAATCTAAATTCTGAGGCATGACATAATGCTAAAGGTTGAACTGTACCCAGACAGAGAGCACATAGCTCAAGTAAGAAATCACATGCCTGATGCTATTTGCAGAAGGGGCATATAAACCTTTATAACTGGGCCAGGGTCAACACAAAGTTGCTGGCTATGGGAGAAATGTGACCATTCAAAATAGTTCTGGAGTGCAGGAAGGAGATAATAATACTTGCATTTGATGTAGCACTTTATCACATCTTTGAGATGTCTCAAAGCGCTTCACAGAATATACTATAAAGTGAATTGACTGTGTTTCAAAATGCTGCAGCCAAATGCGCACAGCAGCGTCCCACAAACAGTCGCGGATTGAAGTGACCAATTTATTAATTTTTTTAGGAAGGCATTATTATCCCCACAACGGCGATCCGCCAATCGACTAACAAATGGGTTCAACTTACTACAGGTAAACAGAGTAAGGAAACTTGCCCAATATGTTTCCCTGCCAGGAATCGAACCCAGGTTTCTCGCTTACAAGGCGAGTGCTCTAACCACTCAGCTATAGGGCTCCACTAATCAGATGGCTCTATAAAATTTAAGCCACAGCCTTGCAAGGGCCCTTTGCAGCATTTTTTTCCCACTGTATAAGATTCCTATCCAACTAACTAAATAAGAACGAACCTGCATTGAAGGACCATTTCAGCAAAATAAAATGCATTCACCTCAAAACTAACAATGCAAGTCCAAATTAATAAAGGCTCAATCTGGCATGACAGAGTTGTGAGTTTCCCTCTTGGTTCTCACAAAGTTTTAATACACTTTAATAAATCACAATTGTGCTCTGGAATTCAAAATTAATATTCAGTCCATTTCTGCAGAAACGACATGATATAGGATCTAAAAAATGACAATCTAAACCCAGTAGCTGTTATTGATGTTTCATTTAATGTCATTTACTCTAAACAAGTGACTCTGAAACTAGGCAGTTGTCAATACAGAATTGGTTAAGAATGGGGGACAGTAAACACTGAAGAAAAATCAAATACTTCTCTAATCAGTACTGAAATGCCACCAATTTATTACAATATTTCAGATGTCCCAAGTTTGAAAAACATATTGCAATTGGGTACAACTCATCAAGACAGGTAGGTAACAAACCCTTAAGTCACTGACAAAGAAAACAGAATATCAATTGTGAATAATTGTTTAGCTTCAGACTAGAGGCTTTAATAAATTGAATAATGAAAAGACTTTATATGCACTGCAATTCATAAACATACTTTTACCAACAGAGGATACAATAAACCAGTCATTCTGTTTTCCATGTAGATGAAAGAGTGAATTTGAAGCATTTAATCACAAACTTCTTTACCTGATGTTTCAATGTAGTAATGAGTAATAGCCTTCCAGTGATATACGAAGTCTTCCTGCAGTGGCAGGGAGGGAGCCAGCTATAACGTGTGGAAGAGAAAGAAAAAAAAAGGCATATTAGTCTTGTTGATAATTAGATTCGACAAGTAACACTTCAAGTAAATAATCTCACTAATGTGTGTAACTGAGCAAGCTGTCAACTTCACTGTCGCTCCACAGCTGAGCCAACTGGAGTTCCAATTTAAGAAAATCACAATGTATAGTACTTGGGACATTACAATATAAAATAATAATGCTTGCATTGTGATATAGTGTAGTGACTGTATCTTATAGGGAATATAGCAACCAATTTGGATACAAAAATGTCCAACAAACAGCCATGAAGCGAATGACCAATTTTATCTGGCGATTTGTTGGCCAGGGCACCTGGGGAAACCCATTTCTCATTTTGAATAGTTCCACAGGATCTTTAACATCCACCTGAACAGGCAGATGGCCATTTAGGTAAGGTCCCATCCGAGTCCCATCCGAATTGCCAATAATGCAGAGCTTCCCTGACATGGAGCTCGACTCAAAAGCAAGAGTTCTACCAACTGAGCCCAAATCAGCCTCCTCAGCACAAATTAGAACTGAAAAATTGTGACCTTCTGCTCTGTACAATTCACTGCTACAACAGGCAGTCAATTTGTGCTTTAACTCAATATACCATTTGGCAGCGTGGTCTGCTATACTGTACTCAAATACTTGCCCTATTTTTCCTTTTGCAGTACAGGTCACACGGATTAAACTGCGTGCTGGAAAAGCTCCACGTCAGGGAAGCTCTGCATTGTCGGCAATTCGGATGGGACCTTACCTAAATGGCCGTCTGCCTGTTCAGGTGGCCATCAGAGATCCCGTGGAACTATTCAAAACGAGAAGTGGGTTTCTCCAGAGAATAATGAGGCCAAATGTGATATTGTAAAGCAAAGAGTTCCCTAATGCCATCATGTATGACACACACTTAATCCAAAACGGCAGATGTGTACATGGGATGGGAAAGTACTGTAAAAACAAAGCGGATATTCGAGCAGTCCAGATGATTTCTACCTCAATGATAAGCTTTACACAGACTCACTTTGTTAGAATTGCTTACAAATATCAATTAACTAAATGGTGCAGCTTTTTTTTAAAGTACTTCTTAAATGCATTAAAGAAATCTTCATCTGCTTTACTGTAGCTTAGTATGTGCTGCATGACCTGACGTTTAGAAAATTCGGACTGCTCAGGGTTTTCATTGTACCAAAAATCAATTTGCATTGTACAGAACAGTTAGTGTCGGAGAGTAAGAAAATAATGCTTTGAACAGTGAAGCTCATTTGGCTCTTCTAACTCATTTCTTCCACACATTATGCAAGATCAATTGTGGACTCTATCCCATCCTCTGCATGAAATTCTGAAAATATCTGCTGCAACCTAAGGGGAAATCAAACAAAATCTCAATTTCTACTCTTCAACCCTGGCTTCCTTCCTGTCATCTCACACCGCAAGGCCCGGGAAACACTCAAAAAAATGTTTCTCATGAAGTTTTTATTTATCTCTGCCTCTTCATACTCCCAGAACCTTCAAAGCTGTTCAGAATTCAGTCCACAACCCGAGTACAAAAAACACCTCCTAAACACCATGGCAAAACAGACCATTGAGCAGCTGCTATGAACACAAGAATATATTACAAACAATGGGCTTGTAACCAGAATTGTTTGCTCAAGATTAACCAACAAAATAAATTTCCTGTTGGTTTCTTTCAAACACATGATACACATTTCTAAATAAATCCAGCCTCAGCTTGTGAATTTATTTTGAACCAATCGACAATTGTGCCAGTTGAGATCTTTAATAAGGACCGCATGACTTGCCAGTACGTATATGACCAGCTACCCGGGTAAACACAGAGCTGTTTGGCTTTTTCTGAAGCAGTCTTTAGGACTATAAAAAAAATGTATTAAGGGTATGTTAGTGTGAGGTTCATATTGGAGTCCTGTAGCTCAGTGGTTAGAGCACTCGCTTTCCAAGCGAGAGACCTGGGTTCAATTCCAGGCAGAGGGCGAAACCTTGGGCAAGTTTCCTTACTCCACACAGAGCCTAATAATAATCCCTCCAAAACCAAAAACAATAATAAATTGGTCATTTTCAATCTACGACTGTTTGTGGGACATTGCTGTGCACAATTGGCTGCCGCGTTCGCCCACAAATATACAGTCAATTCACTTTACAGTGTGTTCTGTGAAGCGCTTTGGGACGTCCTCCCGACGTGAAAAGCGCTATATCAAATGGAAGGATTATTATTAGGATTATTATATTGCAATAGACATAAATGGTGCAATTTATCAAAGGCTGGTAACAATGTTGGGGAAGGTTATTTATCTTGACATATTGGAACATATTGGTGTGTTGACAATAGTGAGAAAACTACAATATTTACTATGAATTCTCAATGATTCGCTGCCAATAAGAATTTGAACTCCTCTTTGGAATAGAACAAAACTTCTCTTGGGACAAGGGTCTCCTGTTGTCAACAAATTTTGACAATATTATGAAATCTCTGTTACCTTTGGCAATTCCTTTTGTGGCAGAATTAGAATGAAATTTCATGAGTCTCCAAAGAAATTTGTAGACGAACCTGTTCTTTCAAACATAACTATGGGTGGCGTTGGATGCGATTGTGTGTATATATATATATACATAAAAAATACAGTACGATTGCCTCTTGCCTCCATCAAGACCCGGCTCAAGACCCTCCTGTTCGACTGTGCCTTCCCCCCTCACTTACCCCAACCCCCCCGCCCCCCACCCCCCCACTCTCTGCTCGGGTCCAAATCCCGGCCAGTCCAGCGCCTTGGGATGTCCTCCCGACATGAAAGGCGCTTTACAAATGTAATTGTATTTTACATTTATACAGTGCCTTTCACTTCGGAGGATGCCTCAAAGCACTGGACACTCCTAGTCGGGCGCCTGAGCTGGGGGTGGGAGGAGGAAAATGACCGAAAGTGCAGTCAAAGAGGTACATTACATAAAAATCGATATGCAACTAGCACATTCCAAAACAAGCCCTAAGTGTGGCTTCTTTGAAGCACTTACAAGTTACCATGTTTCCGTTGCAGGTTATATTATCAACTGTACACTTGTATCTTGTCTTATCGTTTAAGGAAGCGATTGATGGAGGAGAGTGGGGAAATGTCTGTCTGAACACCCTTTTGTAAGCATTCTCTGAGATATAGCCAGGAGAGGGTGGGTATCACAAGCTGCCTCTCCTGATTAAAACATGCAAGATTTTTTTTAAGGACTTTTCATTCAAAGTTTTTTTTAAAAAAAGTTTGTGTTTGTGTGACCTGCAGATTAGGGGTTAGCTCAGGAGACGGGGAGGGGGGGGAAGGGGATGTTGTAGAGCTCCTCTGACTCTGTTTATGGCTGTTTTGCGTACCGTGGTTGGTTGGTTGTTGGAAGGACATCACTGTGCGCAAAACAGTCTGCCGCGTTTCTCCTACATCGTACACTCTGTAGAAAAATCCTCCTGAGGTGAATGAAGCGCTTTCAGACATAATCCCTTCCAAAATAAAGAAAAATTAACCCACGCCTGTTTACCTAGCGATACGTAAGAACCCGGTTGCTAGCCGATTTGCAGATCACTTTCCAGGGGGTAATAATCCCTTCAAATTTAAAAAAAATATACATAATAAAAATGGTCGCACAACCCACGACTGTTTGTGGGACACTGCAGTGCGCAATTGGCTGCCTCATTTCGCGCACAAAACACACAGTAATTCCGTTTGACTGTATAGCTTGTGAAGCACTTTGAGACGTCTCAACAACACGATAAAGCGCTATACCAACCGCAAGGATTATTATTATCATCATCACTGAAAGCTGACGTGGAATATTTTGGAATGCATATAAACACTTACAGATGCTTCTCACTCACACACAATGGTAGAGTGCCACTGAAGAGCTGTGCTCTTAATAGAATAAGTCACGCTGTTCAGCCACTCCGCCCTGAAACTCTGGGACGCTCTTCCTCTAGCCCCTTGCCCCTTCCTTCCCCATTTTCAGGTCGCGCCTAAAGACCTTCCTGTTCCATAGTGCCTACGGACACCTCGCCCCACCCCCCCCCACCCCTTCCCAGCTCGGAATCGTGCTCCGCCACTGCCAAGCGATCTCTGCGTGAGGGGCACGGTGCAAATGCAAGTTGTTGTTGTTCATTGGACCCAAGCATCCACTAAATTCACGTGTGGCTCCAAGTAGCTACCAATCCCAAGTAGCAATCACACCCCAGTACAATGAAGAGCAAAGCCAGTCGAGGGAAACCAGTAGCAGTCGCCTTCAGTGAAGCGGAACATGGAAAAAAAATTCTAGGTGAATAAAAAAACGTGTCAATAAGGTGGTTTGATACGGTTATAACACGAAGTGACATGTAAAATGTTGCATCAGTGCAGAGTGAGTAAGACGCTGAATACTTCTGCAAGTTGTAGGCCACCTTCCACGTGGCTGTAACAGAACCACCTCAATGGTACACACAGCAGAACGACAGCACTTCCTGGAATGCATTTGGGCCATCGAGTCCTGTAGTTGAGTGGTTAGAGCACTCGCCTCGCAACCGAGAGACCTGGGTTCAATTCCTGGCAGGGAGAAACCTTGGGCGAGTTTCCTTACTCCACACGCCTGATAATAATCCCTCAAGGAAAACAACAATAATAATTTGGTCAATCAATCCACGACTGTTTGTGGGACACTGCTGTGCGCAATTGGCTGCTGTATTTCGCCCACAAAATAGACAGTCAATTCACTTTACAGTGTATTCTGTGACGTGCTTTGAGATGTCTAGCAGACGTGAAAAGGCGCTATATCAAATGCAAGGATTATTATTATATTTATCATATATTTTGTGGGCTTCAGTGCGATTACCCACTGTAGATAACTTGCAGATCAGGTTAGTTACAAATCCTGCGCTCCACTGGAAGGATGCGACATTAGCAGCGGCACTGCACTAGAAATGTCAAGTTGATTTCATTTACCAGGAGTTATCTGGTGACTGAGCAACATGCAGGAA